TTTTTTTTTTTTTTTTTGCAGTTTTTGGCTGGGGCTGGGTTTAAACCCACCACCTCCAGTACATGGAGCCAGCACCCTACTCCTTTGAGCCACAGGTGGCACCCTCAAAATGTATTCTTATTTCTATTCCCACTCCTACTGCTTTGCCTAGAGGGAAATGGAAGAGGAGATATTTTAAATCCAGAAAATTCTGCAACTGCCAAAGGAAGAAATAAGGACCAAAGCGTGTAAAAAGAATTTCTGGCTGGACAAGGTGGCTCACGCCTGAAATCCTGGCACTCTGGGAGGTTGAGGCAGGTAGACTGCCGGAGCTCACAGGTTCGAGACCAACTTGAGCCAGAGTGAGAACTCATCTCTAAAAATAGCCAGGGCTTGTGGCAGGCACCTGTAATCCTGGCTATTTGGGAGGCTGAGGCAAGAGAATTGCTTTCGCCCAACAGTTTGAGGTTGCTGAGAGCTATGATGCCAGAGTACTCTACCAAGGTTGAGAAAGTTAAACCCTGTCTCAAAAAAAAAAAAAAAAAAAATCTGCCTGACTGGTGCTTTGACTTAACTGGTATCAAAGGTCTGGAGTGGGGCAGAAACTTTTTCCTAAGTCATCTTCCTTACCTGTATAATCAATTGTTCTTTCCTCCAACTACTGTTTCATGGCATCAGGCATACTTATAGGCAAATGTAAATACAAGATATAAACTAAATATATTTCATTACCACTGTCATTATTTCCTTGTATTAGCTTACCTAGAATTACCTATAACTGAATCTGTTAGAAGCCCCAGGCAAATTAAAAAAAAAAAAAAAAACCTAAATCATTACCATTTTATAATAGAGTTCTATGGAACTATAACATGGCCTTTCTACATACCAAACTGTTTTTTTCCTGTTGTGATAAATGATCCAGCAGTCTCTGTGAAATACAATCCCTATATGCAGAACATTTCATTAAAAAAGAATAGAGGAACATCTATATTTTGAATGATGTGGTCACGGAAAAAACAACAGGAAAAAGCACTGATATACATATAGAAAATTAGAGAACTTACCTCCCTTTACTGCTTTATGAGAAACTAAAGATACCATTCAATTATGTTTGAGTATCTTATCTGTGATCAGTGGTGTTTGTCCAAGGTGGGATGGTAACACAAAAAGAGTGAAAGCTCACCCTTTAAGAGCTTATCTTCTCCTCAGAGGGAGAATAAAATAGGACTCAGTGTTAAACTATCATCAATATACATTAAAGTGAAAGTCACAGAAAAGTGACTGAGAAGCCATAGTCTGAGGTGGGATTCAAAACGGCAGAGGGAAAAGAAGGGCTGAACATTTTAAGTGGGAGGAGATCCCACAGCAAGTATCTCAAGGGGCAAAAAGAACCCTGTTGGGGAGCAGAAGAAAGTAAATAAGAGTGATCACACACATCCGAGATGATTTAGAACCCTGCAGATTGGGCTTTTTCATCAACAGCACAGTCACCCAGCACAGCTGGGAGGGGACTGAAGTAGAGTGAAGGTGAGAAAGAAGCGCTGACGTCATCGGTCAATAAGTAATGAGGACTGCACCAAGACAGCAGGTGGTGAACCGAAAGTGTCAAGCCAGGAGGAAGGTCTTCATGAAGGAGACAGGGACCCAGCTGAATTAGAGACCAGACGAGCTACAAGAGAGAATGAACTTCATGCCGCCAAAGTCTGTCATTGGAAGACTGGTGCAAATGAGAGTGTTGGATTTAAGTTAGGAGCTGGGAATTCTAAGCTCTTGAGAGTATGTAAGAAGGCAGAATTATATAGATCTATGAATCATCTGTCTGTAAATAAAAATCCAATCCACAAGCATGAATAACCTCAGCAAAGGAGTGAGAACAGAGAAAGGGAGAGGCTCTGGGACAAAAGATGTTCTTGAAAATGCCCGAAGAGAAAGCATACGCGTAGCAGCTGCAGAGTTCCACTGCAGATGGTAAAGGGAGAGATCTCTCAGTGAGCAGGACAGGAGCAGAATATATGAGGGTTGGGGGGGACAAACAGAGACAATTTAATGGTAATCTGAGTGGGCTCAAGTCTTCAGCATTCCCAGGAAATGAGGTAAAGTCTAGTTCAAGCACACGCTCTAAGCAAGAAGCCTGTGTATTAACATCAAACCCCCCACAGACTGGATTGCCCTGGTGACCTCAAGAGGTTACTTATAAACTCTCTACCCTCAAGTCATAGTCTATATGACCCAATTCTCACTGGCCAGTAAAATGGTAGGATGTGTAAGGGATTTGCAAACTACAATAAAGCTGTATGAATCTAACACTTTACTGATGGAAACCAGGTGGTATTCTAAAATAATGTTCGTGACAGAGAAAAGGTTAACTAGAACATCTTCCCACCAACATTCCTAGTGAACCTCACCCAGCCCCGGTATAGCCCCCTATGCTGGATGTTGAAGACCCATTCATACTGTTTTAAAAAACTAAATGCATTCTCAGATCCATACTGTAGTTTCTGCTGTAACACACCCCACTTACACAATGCCCAGATAGGACACTGAAACACTGTCATTTTCCTCATGAGTATTTTTTTCTCTGCTGTTGTTTTTCCTTCCCTGCTCCCCACCTTGTTTTTATCCCCTAATTCTAACTTACTTCCCCTTCCAATTGCCTCAACTCTCACATAATCTCCATTAAGACACATTCTCACAAATGTCTCCAAAGTGTTTTCAAAACCAAGAGAAAAGAAAGTCTGTGATTAGCATTACTATCTCTTAAAGTAGTTTAACCTTTGTCTTTATCCATCAATTTCACTGTTCTGGCCTCCATTTAAAGACACAGGCAAACCTGTTGGACTGGTTTTCCTCTAAGCCCTGCTTTCCTGATTGGCTTGGTGAGTACAGATGAACAACAGGCACAGTAGCACAAATGCAAAACCTATGTAAAGCACAAGGGCCTTCTTCATAAAAGAACCCACAGAGAAGGCCTGCAGGTCCCGCACTAACAGCCCTGTCTCAGAGCAGCTCACTCAAAGCAGGAAAATAACACCACTGAGTCCCTCATTCCATGGTTAGTTAAAAAAAAAATTAATTCTTCCTGCTGATTCTTTGCTTCTAAATAACGGGTATTATAATAAGGGACCATCAGATTGAGCCTTCAGTTTACGTTTAAACGTTTCAAAATTTCTGATAAATAAAATTATATTCAAAATGTAGTACAGAGGTGTGCCCAAGTTTGTTGTGGTGGTTGTTGCTATTGTGGCTGTACACGTGCTTGCTCAAGCAGATTAGAAAAATTTGAACGTGCAAAAGAGCTAATCAAAACAGAATTCTTTCCATGGAAAGATACGCTTCAAAATCACTATCTACAATGTTTTACTGCAAAATATTTCTAGCATACAGAAAAACGTAGAGATTAATTTAATAAACCCCTGTATGCTCTTCACCTGAATTTGAAAAGTATCAAATGTCTGGCCTATTTTCTTAAATTCTATAAATATGATTCAATTTATAAAAACTGAATTGTTAAATAACGTTTCAGGACCTTATTACAGAAAATACAGCACATATCTGTACACGGGGCTTATTACAGAAAAATACAGGTCATCTGTATACTTGATTCTACTTTTTAAATTTATGAGCACGTGTTACTTACACTTAATATCTCACTTGGAAGAAAATTAGCCCCGTAGTTATTACTTCTTAAAATAAGTAATGGGAAATAAAATAACTAAAATATTATGACTTTAGTATCTTAAAAAATATTTCAAGTATTAAATTTCTTCATAACAGAGTTAAAATCTACAAAACGACTTTACAAATATTTTTGTATGTAATAATTCTCAAATCAAGCAAATATTTACTAAATCAGTCACAAATGTAAATTTATTTAGTTTACTGGAATACTTACAGATGTACTGCTGTTATTTATATCAAATCAACAGAAACTGATTATGCCTTCAAAATAAAACCAACATACTGGTTATTAAAAATTAACATTTCAGATAAATGTCACAAGTCTTTAAGCAAAACACACATTATCTCTGAAATGTTCTTACTATATATTCTTTCCACCAAATATAAATTCTTTAATACTTACATAAATTTCCAGCCAGGGAACAGGAATTGTCCCAGATACCCTACCATCATAAATCTAAAGATATCATTTTGATTTTGGCTGTGCCTAAATTCTCACCTTTGATAGGTTAAGCAGTTAGTCAGACATGAGCAGGGTGGATGGTAGATGCCATTAGGCTATTTTGGTCTGGCTTGGGTCAGGCTGGCCTAAGTTGTTAGGAGAATGGAACTAATCCAGACCCTATAGGTGCAAGACCTTCCAGGTGGGTTGTTTTGGGGAGCTAGTTATTTTAGGGGACTGATCAATGTCCCTGGAACTTTCTGACATGGACAGACAGATGTGGTCATACGAACTTGGGTTATTTTAGGAACAACCTGATTAGGACTTTAAGCAGGATCTAAGTAGTGTCACCTCTACTCAGGGGGCTGATCCATTCCTTCTTTGGAATGTACTTATGCTTTAATCT